CTGCACTGTCACTTGCCACTTTACGATCTTTGGCATCTGATCGCACCCTGGCCGTCGTTCACGCTTCTCCCATCCGGTTCGGTTGATAATGTCAGGCTTGCCCAGGAGGAGGGGAATGCTGCGAATGCGGCTTGTTTTCAGCCAGCATAGCTCAAGTACAAGCTCGGTGGTCTTTAGGCTCGTCTGATCAGCATAGGATGTTATGCCCTTCACAACCGTTTTGATATACTCCCAATGAATCTGGATAATGAATGAATTCATTTGCCCTATTGCTCATTTGGAATGCGCCAGACTCTCAACTTCTGCCTCAAACCGTTATGACATTTGTGAAATGCTTATATGGCCCGAATTATGACTTTGTGGGTGGCCTTTGTAGAATATAGTGTTTTCATATTTCAAGACGATTTGATACATATCCATTAAGGCTAATCTCTGCTCTAGAAGAGAATTAGCCCTTTAAACCATGTCCGTCCAAATCCCATTACGCGAGAAGAAACAGCCAACAAAGGAGAATCTTCTAACTCAAATTGCCCGACTTGTGAATCATTTTAATCTTTAATCCCAGATACCCTGGTTTCCGATTCATTACGAGAGCAACGATACAGAAAATTACGTTTAAACAAAATCCCCAGTGTGCGCCATGTATTCGTCTTCGATTCACATTCTTCACAATTTTCAACGTCTACCTTGTCTGCACATGACTCACTGGAATTTTTAGCCGAAGTCAACTCATTCTTGTCGTTCACAGGGACAATTTTGGTACCTAGGCTTGGTGCGTGTAATTGGAAGAATTTAAATTCGGGGAGGAGAGGTATTTGAGGTCGGACCACACCTGAGATAGCTACGCTTTTTGTCATAACATACCTCTGACCCTTACCTTAATGATTTGCTAAAAAAAGTCATTTGGTATGAGAAAAACCTTCGGAATACCGAGACCTGGTCTTTCCTGGATTTGCAGTAAGCCACTGAGTCGTTGCCTACTATTCCATAAGTATAGTAACGAGTATTTCTCGTACTGGAGCTAACGGCCGGCTTGGAGCTCAGAGGTGGTGCAATGCCAAGACGCGCGCTATGACAGCATGTTCCGGGGATCTGATCCTGAATGGTGAAGAGGACATGTGTACGTAGATTGGAAACAAGATCGAGGACAAATTCGTGCTGTTGCGAATGCAATTAAAGAGTTATCGGACCGTGATATCCGCGTTGACTATTTAGATTCGGGCGATTTATGTGTCTTCCGGTGGCGCGTTCGACACCCGTCTGTGGAACAGGACAGAGCACTATTAGGGAACAATTTAACGAGAATACCGCTTTCCTAGACGGATCCATGGTTCGTTGAGTAATTCTAGACCCTATTGTACCCAAATTAAACGGTGCACCCGATAACCGAACGTTTTTTTACAGATTTATGGCAGCAGTGACCGTGACCAGTTTCTCTTCCGCCAAGGGGCGTTCTTGAAAACGAAACAAGTCAAGAATCGTGTCTTCCCACCAATTGGTAGGGTTGTTTATCGAAATTTCCATATTCATATCACAAATAAGTGATTTCAGACACCAATATGAATGTGGTAGCCGGTGACGACCGAGCTAACATTTTTGTCGGCCTAGCCGCTCTCCATACGTTGTTCCTCCGCCAACATAACAGGTGCCACCTTCAATTATTTCTTTCTCCGCTAAACAAGAAATTTTCGTCGGAAATTCGAAGGACAGAAAATCTTTGATTTCCAGAATTGCGGGCTCTTTACAAAAAATCAATCCTCACTGGGATCAGGAGCGAATTTTCCATGAGACCAGGAAGATTGTTGGGGCGATTCTGCAAAGGATCACCTATTCAGTGGGTTTTGTTTGCTGACTGTCGTTTTCAGTGGTCTAAATTATATGCGCTTTCTGGAAAGGGTTGATCAGAGTGTTGGTTAAGCTTCTGCTTTGTTAAGGAGTAAATGAATCCTTTCCTTATTTGGAAGGTATTTCAATTTTGAATCTTCTCTAGCACAAAGAAATTGGCGAGATGATAAAAATGCACAAAAGTTTCATCAGGCATTTGGGTGGGGACGGGTAGCAGGAGGTTGGAACTAGCCTAGATATAGGCTTTGCCAGCGCCCAGCGGCCACAATTGCCTTTTCGTTTTGAGGACCTAGGCGAGTCCCATCCAGCAATCACCATGTCCAAATTGATAAAACAAGGCAACGCCACTGTTCGCGGCTTATTCCGCTAGCCAGTGTTTACCTATTCCGCCCACATACTTCTCTCAAGATCATCGATTATAGGAATATCTTCCTCGTGTTCTCGGTGAGGAATTCGGGAAACGTATCGGCGAATACCGAGGTTACGATAAGAACACGGATCCATCTGTGGCCAACGAATTCACCAGCTGTGCGTTCCGATTTGGTCACGGCATGATTCAGGTGAGAAACCCGTTTTAGGGTGAAATTTCTCTTTCTGAACCTGATTTTATACGAAATATTATAGGAGTTCTATCCGTTCCTCAACGAGGAATTCCAAAGCGTCGGTGGTATACCGTTCAATGAAGGCATGTTCAAAAGTATCCACATTTTGAACAATGGAATCGATCCTCTTCTACGAGGACTCATTACCCTCCCAGCCAAAATGCCCCAACGGTACGTCCTTTGTTCGAATTGGTACAGACCGGCCAGACAAGTAATTTACATTCCAGTTTGACCCCTGCCGTAACTGAAAGGATCTTTGGAAACTCAGATCTCGGCTCTATCAACATCCAAAGAGGAAGGTTGGTGAAGGCAATNNNCGTTTATTAGCACTTATACCTTATTTCTTCTCCCTTCAGAGACCATGGTGTACCTGCATTCATTCAATGGAGGAAGTTCTGTGGACTGCCTGAAATTAAGGACTTTGACGACCTCAGCAGGACCATATCAAATCCTATTGTTATCGATAACTTGAGGGTTATTTACAAGCACGTCGGTAGGTTGCGATTCTTAGACTGACCAAAATTTTTTTCACAGATTTCCTTTTTCTCCTGTCGCTTTACCTTATTTGTAAAAATTGCCCGAAATTGTCGGTGCTCCTGAAAAACTAACCAGTTTTGCTGACCAGTTTCGGTTATCCTACGAAGCGTTGTTGGAGGATTGTATAATCGTAAATTAGCAGACTAGCAGAATAGGGCAGGCAACCTGAGGCTTTACGACCATATTCATCGTATTTAATGGTTCAGGTGCAATTGACATGTATGTGGGCTCGTTGTTGGAGGATCCCGTGAAGGATTCCTTGGTTGGACCAACTCTAGCGTGTATCATTGGCGAGCAATTCAGGCGGACGAGGAATGGTGACAGGTCATTCACTTTCTGTTGCTCATTTTTTCCTTTGTCATTCATCTACCTGTGCTAAGAAGGCTTTTCGCGTTCGTTCTCGCTTATCATCACCTATCCGATACGGGTTTATCATATCAGATGTCACACAGGCACATGGAACAGGATTCATCTGTACGTGGCTGGGCGCTATTCCTTTGTTGACGTAGACGGAGAGGGAAATCGGGGGGCATCGCGAAAAGTTTACAATGGGACCACTATTCTTCCAATGATTACGTAACAACCGGTAGTCTCCGAAGCGAATTGACCTGATTTTGAGCATTTCAGATTCTACTTTGAAAACGATGGCATTTTCACTCCAAAGCAAGTGAAGCAGATTAAGAGGGTGACGATAGCCAGAGTTCTTTGCGAAGGTGGTGAACATTTCTCGTTCGCTCCACCGCAAGCATTCGACGTTTTCAGACCATCAAAGGACCAATTGTTACGGTAAGAATTTCTAATTCCTATGAATAGACATCTTTGAATTTGTCCTTTTGTACAAGAAACCATAACTTAGAATCGACACGTACCCTTTCGCCCTTTTTACCTTCCTATGAGAGCTGGCGCTAAATAATTGGCGACAAAAACTGAAGGTCTTGAGCGGAAGCGTCAGAAAAGGTGGAACTCGCAAATTCTCCAGTAAAACTCCTCTTTTTCCAGATGTGCGGAGATCCCAGACATAGACTTCACCGCCTGGAAGGAAGACCTGGGTGTAGTTGAACACCCCTAAGCCAATGTACCTCAACTCAATCACTGCCACTACTATCATCGAACCAATACCTCTATTAGCGACAACGTCGCATGATCCTCTAATTTCTAGTCACATTGCCTCCACTTTCATGAATCAACCCAGTGCCTTGACTGACTGACTAGGATATGTTTAGAGTACTACAGCTAGTATGTCAGCACATAATGCTCATATCTGTACATTATCGCATTTTGTTGTGTTTGAATGTTTTTACATCGTTTTCTGTCATTTCTTAGTACTACAATAGATCCATAGGTCATGCAAAGAGCTTATAAATTCGTTTTTTTTACTTCAGTTCGTGGCTGAATCTTCTAGATGTACTCGTAAAATACAGGTGTGTGTTTATGTGGCATCCGGTTGATTTCAAATTGTCACATTTTTTCAAGAAAAAATAAAGTTGTACAGTACTAGTGACCGTATTGGGTTTCAGCTGAAGTGAGTAAAGTTACAATACGCTAATGGTTTTCCGAAAAGAGTTAGCTGTTCGAGAAGTCATGGGGAATTCCCTAATGCGAGGTTTGTGGAAAAAGATTAGAAGAAGGCCCATTAGTTCTTGCGAATTGCCAAAAAGAGTGTGCGTGGTCTGGGTGTCTGGAGGTCATGGATGTGTGTGTGTGTGCATCAGTGTGTGTCTTTATGTATGTACATATGTGTACCTTCTAGAATGATTCCTCTTTTCCCTAATTCCCGGATTGTCTACCGTGGTCGTCTATCAGATTTCCAAATAAGAACTACATTATATCCCGGCTGCATTATTGCGCTTTCGAACATCTTTGCTGTCCCAGTACATGAGACCGGGAGACGGGCAGTAGGATCGGTTTTGTGTAATCGATTCGCCGTACGCGGCTGTCGCGGACCATTCGCTTCGCCGTTATTACAGCTTTAGCGTTCTTCATACAGCTAATCAATACGCAATCATTATTTTAGGCACTTACCTGCTGCTGCACTCTGCTACACTCCTTCGCGCACGGCATCCCTCTCGCCGCAACGCGACAATTTCGATACTACTGCACCACACCCCGTGAGATCAGCACTAATCTGCCAGAGCCTTTGAAGCCTGCTTGCTTATTCAATACTGATAAGAGGACTAGCGAGAACGCTGTATAAAAACTTTTCCTGAGTTAGATAGCTCTCATTTACTAGTTGTAACGTTCGGATATGGTGGTGTTGATGACTACGAGCGACTTTGTGGTTCAGTCGAAGGATGATCTCAAAACGGCTATCGAAGACAGTGCTGTGCCAGCCCAACTACAGGTGTGTTGACTGTTCCTATAAGGGTGAACTACAGGAACTGGTCTGTCGAGCTCAAACTTCCCCAGAGCCAGGAAGGATCCTGTTCACCCCTAGAACTAGCAGCTCTTCTGTAAAACTTCATTTAACTTTTCAGGGTGAAATACGTCTGCAACTACGCAAGAAAAAGCATCATCGCTTCAGAAAATATCATGCCGTACTCGCTAAGGGGTTCCTTCGTCTCTTCACTAACAACCAGGAACAACATTATAAATACCAAATTGATCTGGCGAAGGTAAGCAGACAGATTTTTCCAGGATCATTCGTTTTCATGGGACATAGATGTTTTGGAGGGACGGGTTCCAACTTTATCAGGACTTCTTCAATTCGTCAAAAGTAGGGTTCTGAGGACCTTCTGCCACCTGGCCTCGTTCTAAGTATGGATATTGGTTTGGAGTGAGTCAGATATGAGAGGGAGACGCTTACACTTTAGACTGCTCTTTAAGGCAAGCGCTCAAAAAATGTTGTTGATTATATGCTAAGATCATATCCCATTTCGAAAGATAGCCAACAGTCGAGTGGGCGGATAGGCTGCTTTCATAGTTCGCGAGCGAGCGAGCGAGCGCGCGAGCCGGCCGGGGGACTACTCGTCCGGGGGCATCGACCAAAATCCAGTTGTAAACAAGGGGCAAGCGCCGCCCAAGATCGCTCGCTCGCGCGCTCGCGGCCCAAATCGCGGACTAGGAAAGCAGCCATAGACAGCTCCCACAGAATAGTTATAGAGTACGGTTACTCAAGAGGGAGGTTACTAATTATGTAATTGAAATGTTTTCCTGTATTATGAGGTGGATCGTCTAGAACGTCTCCTTCCCTTTCAAATCCTCAAATATGTTCGATTACTGAAGTAGCCCTTCTATGCGAGTGTGAGTACTTTCCCCCGAAAATCGCGTCGCACACGTAGCACGCGATCATGGTTTTGAAGGGGAACTTTCCAGTGGAAGGTATGAAAATTGCTATGGAACCAATGCACCTTGCCATAGGGTCTCAGGGAGGAGTACCATCACCCCTTCAATGCCATGTAACAATAGAGATAGGCCCCTTACTGGGCTTAATATGCTGGGCTTGATGTCATATGCCTGGTAGGACTTCGGTTGAAGTTGGATTTTGTTTTTATTTTCAGATTCTAGTAAAAGAAGAGAAGGGAGCCGTTCTTCTGGAATTCAGAGTAGGTTTGACGACTACCGAAGAAAGGTTTTCTACATAGACAGATCTAAAATAGCTTCCTCTCAAGAAAGTTCGAAGCTATTTAATACAGCTCCCCAGTTTATTTTCATTCTTTCCAGACAGATAGTTGTAGCAACAACCCCTCAATTCCGAGACTCTTTCATGAAATTTATAATGTGTTTTTATTATTTCTGTGATGTGTTAACCATATAAGAAATGAAGGATTTATGGAGGGCAGCCAACATTTTTGAGGTGGAGACTCGAGTCCTTATTCCGGTGAACGAAAAAGATCTCGACAAATGGAAAAACGCCATGATGAAGCATCAGCAATACCGTAAAACTAAGTTGAAGTAAGCAAAGTTTGAGTTTAGTGGCAGTAGTGTACTTCGAAGGATTATTTAAGCTATACCAAGTAATAGAATGCTTTATTGCAGGACATCATTCACTCCTTTCCTTATGGTTTTCGAAACATTTAAGATTTCTTTTCATTACGAGCAGGACACGGGCAATAATTTGCGTCCTCTCCAACGAGACCATCTCTACCTGGGGCTCCTGGAGTGCCATCATCTGCATTTTTACCAGGAAATCCGGGTGGACCCGGAGGTCCAGGTGGTCCTTGAGCTCCATCTTCACCTGGGTCTCCATTTTTGCCTGGTTCTCCTGGTGGCCCGGGCCATCCAGGAGCTCCTTGTGCTCCTTCTGGGCCTGGAGCTCCAATTAGTCCATCGTGACCAGGTTGTCCGGCATTTCCTTCTAGTCCAGGATGTCCTGGATTACCAGGTTCTCCAGGTGGTCCCGTTTCACCGGGTGTGCCATCCTCACCGGCTACTCCTACTTGTCCGGGAGCTCCAGGATAGCCAGGCTCACCCTCAGGCCCAACTGGTCCATCCGGGCCAGGCGCTCCAGGTGGACACTGAAGACATCCTCCAGGAATATCATGCGTCACGCTGCAATTGTCATAATCAAGTTGGCACAAGTAAACATAACCAAGATAGTAAACTCACACAAGGGATATTCCACTAGCTCCTGGACGTCCAGGCTCACCTGGGCTACCTTGCTCTCCACGTCTTCCAGGTAATCCTGGTGGGCCTTGTGGTCCGGGAGGACAACCTTGAGAGTCTACTCCGCAGTTGCAAAAGGCCTCATGGGATCTTTTGTGACGGGAAAGGATGGACGTGAATGATTCTAGAGCATCTGCACTGCGGTACTTGCCATTCAGAACGACAAGACGGGTCCATGCGTCGTCGGATACGGTCTGAATTGAAACCGGTGATGACAGAAGGGTTTAGATGACTGGCTCACCTTCATCTCCTGCACTCCTGAAACGATCTCGTCTCTCATGTCGTCGATCTGTTGGACGATTGCGTTAATAATGACAAGCGTGCAGATGACGGCTCCAAGTGTTACGCAGCTCCCTATCGGAACGCCATTAGACAGCATCCTGAGAGCGAAGTGGGTAACAATCCGGGCTGGGCAGAGCGAGACAGTGTCGTTTCGACAGCCACCTTTTATTCTGAAACATCGGGCCGTTTTTGAGAGGTAAACTGAAAGTCAGGGCTACTTTTTTGACCAACGGGAATCCGATCGCACTTTTCGATCCGCGTCACCGTCTTGCTGACCCATTTGACTATAGAACACTTGAATCTTTTCAGAATACCAAGTTTCACCTCACCTATGGGTATTGTGGGTTCCAGTGATCGATCAGGCAGTTCCGACAGCGTATCGACAGCGTGAGCCAGATATATTGGCTTTCTAAATCTGTATCAGGCAAAAGAAAATGGATGGCATTTTAGGAATGACTTCAGTCAATGGGAGACTTATGATGTTTGGGCGAGAACGATTGACAAAATCCAGCGTAAGTTCAGAATCAGCCTCCTATCCAGATTTCTATGCAGATTTATCATGACAGTCCACCTTTTCAATGGCGAATGTTCCCACATTTGCAATCGGATAGCCAGCTAGGCCTTCCGAGATTGGAATTGACTTTGTATGAGGACGACCGATATGCATGAATCTCGTGTAGGTCTCAATGGATATATCGGGGAGCAGCTTCAAATGTCCATCCTGTATAGCCGCCTACACCTACATCGCCAGGAGATGGTCAGTATAATACCAATGAGGAAAACGACTGCCACTGGATAGCTAACCCAGAATGGGTAACGATTCGGGTGGCAAGTGTAGGTCCCAACCCCTCGAGCAGGATTGTCCCTGTCACGTTCGTCGTTACCCAACAAGAAAAGATGAAGTGAACTGAACAAATGACGTTGACGGAGTTAGCCTACGCAACAAAATCTGACCCATCTCCAAACTCGATGGGTTAGACCCCTGCAGTGAGCTGGGTTTCTACGAGCTTCGACTGGCATCAGTCAATTATATCATCAATTGAAACTAATCGGAAGTATTTCAGAGACGCAAGGTTTCACATTAGAAATGTTGGATAGAATATCAATGAAAGCTAGGCAAATGAGAATCATAGCAGAAGAGCTGAATGAGCTGGCTGAGAACATAATGGTCAGTCAGTTGACTACACAGTGTAAGGCACCGTTCACGAAAATTAATTGACTTCTAGAGGCAAACTCTTGATAAAGAAACTCGCACCAAACTTGCCGAATCCATCACAAGCGCATTGAACAGCATCTCGAATATGGAGTGTTCAATGAACGAGACATTCGATGTTTATCCATTCGCTTGTGAAGTGGACGCAACTTCAAAAATAGGTAAGGGGGTATGCAAATGAAAGACCTCTGGATTGATAGAATTCCTGAAATCATTTTAGACATACCGCAGTCGTCGTATGAATTCGATGACAGCGAGTTTTTGGGGCACGACAGTAGGGTGCCGATGATGCTGCACTCTTTGAAGGCCACCATAAACGTCGAACAGAAGAAAGCGTAAGTCAAGCATCTGATAGTTCATTATTTACTAAAATACCCTAAACACAGCGTCAAGCCTACCATCGAGATGATTTGGAATACTTCCCTTCCACCTTTTCTGCTCCCTACCCTCTCCTCCAAGCAAAGCTCACCAAGCTACAAGCTCACCCCCAGAAAAAAAATATTAGCAGCCCCCCCCCCCCCCCTCTTATCGCACCGATAAATCTAAAACAGTGTGCCGATGCGCGATCCTCTTCTACATGCTTTCTATAATAAGTGATATAATTATAATTATAGTAATTAATTATTATATTATAATAATTCGCTGCTTCTCTGGGATTAGCTACCAAGTATAAACACAACTTACAAAATAAATAATCTAATTATGGATTTCAGTAGAGTAATTCGACGAGCCTTCGAAAGCTTGGGTAAAAAGATCTTGCGTAAGTTTCTTTATGCCATATAACGGCTCATGTCCCTTCAGTGAATCCGTATCGCAATCGAATCTTGTTGCGAGGTAGAATGAGGAGAGGTCCATTGTTATCTGCAATGGGGAAACTAAAAACTGTGTCTTCCTTCAGCTCTGCTACCACAGCGAAGCGATACGACACAGAAAAGTATTGCCGTGCCTTCACTTTCACAACAACGTCAAGAAGACAAAACTCAGCAGTGAGCAATCAGTCGTTTACTTAAATTATCGTTTCTGAATCAGTTACAGGCACCCTGATTTTGCTATTTCGCTAAAGTACCTTGAAATTTATCAGGAGCGGTGATTTTGGTATCTCACCAAGATCGAACATAGAGCATCGAGCCAAAGCATCCAATGAGGGCCAGTCCGCTAATACTAAGGTAAAAGTTAAACTTTTAGGGTAGTTCTCTGAAGTTCCTAAATGAAGCGTTGCCCATTTCAGACTCGTCGAGAGCGTCGAAAGGTCTTACCTGCGCAGCAAAGCCCATCAGAAAGTATCAGTTTCGCGGTACAGTACCGAATCGTTCAACGAAGTGTCTAGTATCATACTGTTGCCTTTGAATTGTTCTAGGCCCTCGGACGGATGATTGTACAACGAACCGGTGTACCCATAACGCATTATGAGCCGCTTACAGCTTTACAGGTACAAGATCAAATGTTAAGCAAGTCAAAGGTCTTGCAAAAACTAAGGAGTTTCAGTTGCTCTGTGAAGAGTTGAGGCATTCAAAGCTACTCAATCGGGCATGCACAAAGGCCAAAGCCGAGGAGAGGATGGTTTATGTGAGTTGGGAGGATGGCAGTTACAATGCTGGTGTTGTTACTGCCTTTCAAGAAGGCCAAGGGGGGAACGTTAGGAGGCCGCTTACAGTATTCCAAACCTGCTTCAGGTAGCCGCCTTTGCTGTATCACCATATCCAAACTCAACTGGTCGATTTCGCAAGTTTTTCAACCCATTGCTTGGGGAAACGTATGAGTACGAGCAGGAAGACTTCAAGTACCACGGGGAGCAGGTAACACCGAATTTCTATATCCTTAGACAGACCCATTGTCTTATTGGTTCCGAGCTTAGTCCATAGAAGACAACAAGCGTCGATCCCAATCAGGCGGGAGAATGATCCTCTACTGTTCATCATTCATGACCTTCCAATTTCGTAGGTTTGTCACCATCCTGCCGTATCTGCCGTCCATGCTGAAGGGAACGGATGGACGTGGTTTCAAACATTCAGTACGTGATTGTTTGTTATTTCTGCAGAATAGCCAAGCTGAACTCCCAGGTGCCGAAATAACATGGAACGCTTGGGCTCAGACTTGTGAGTTCGCTCCAGAAAGACCAGTTCGGCTTCAGCTGAATGGCGAAGACTACCGATGGAACAAGATAAGTCTTCAATATTCCAAACCTCGGATTACTGGGATAGGCACCGTTCCGTCTCCGGAGAAGATTACCAATAAGCTTTTATTCTCCGCTTCGTGGGGTGCTGATGACGCTAAGTGTGTAGTGTGCTGACGCTTTGGATAGGATGGACATATATCACCTTCACTTGAACTCTACCCTATCATTTCAGATCACAACCCGTATAGAGAATCTCATCTACGCCCCGGAGCAACGCAAATTGTACCACGAAGGGACGATCAAAGTCAAATGCTCCAACGGGGTCTCTGCTACGATCCATGTAGACAAGAACAAGGTAAGCATAGGTCTGTGGCCCTGGAAATGCTCCCAGGCTCACTGGAAAGAAAACGGCTTTGTGCCCTGGATTCCTTTTTACACTTGTATTTAGACTTTGTTATTAAGGAGTTGTCAGGAGAAGTGGTGGACGCTAAAGGTGCAATCTTCTGCAGATTTTCAGGAAGATGGGATGAGCACTTCACTAGGTATGGGAGGCCATCACGGTATCATTATGGTGCTTATCCAACTTATCACCACTTTCATAGAGAAATGAATAGTGGCGAAAAAGAGCAACTCATTGTGGTCGGCAATACTCCACTCCATCCGCAATATTTCGGATTTTCGGACTTCACTATGGGCTTGAACGAGCTCTATCCAGAGGATCGAGCCTCTCTACCCCCAACTGACAGTCGTTTGCGACCCGACGTAAGAAATTTGGAAGATGGAAAACTGGACGATGCAGTAGCCTACAAGTATGAACTGGAAAAGGTTAGTGAGAAAACTGGAAATTTTGACTTATTGCTTGATGCAAAATACCTGGCGGCCATGGTCAGGTGAATACGAATTAGAAGGGATCAATGATAGCAAAAAGACGTAAAAGCACTAAGACCGTTAGCTCCATAGCATCGCTGTTTCGTGCCCCCTTGCAGCCGCTCCGCGGCCGCGCGCGTCTTGTACTGCTCACACCCCAAGTTCTTTTGTGTAAGGAATAGGCGCTTTCCAAGGAAACAGTATGTCGTAGTTTTCAGGCTCAGCGAGCTCGAGCAGTTGATGAAAAAGCACATAAACCTCTATGGTTTGTTGAGAAAATGGATGAATTTTCAAATACGGACATCTACGTGACAAATGGGAAATACTGGCAGGCCAAAGGAGAGAAATTTGAGCAGCAGAAGAAGAATAATGCTTTCATTCCAATATTCAACGTATCGATTACCAGATAGTTTAATTTCTATTAAACATTTGATCATTGATTGTTTCACACCTTAAACCCAAGCTGATTAGAGCGTATGGTTTGGCCTCATGAATAGAGCAAGACGTTGCTACCGGGCTAGGTGAGAAATGCTCTTACTGCTAATGAACTCGAGCTCGATGATGTTTTAGGGAGGTATGAGAAAGTAGCGGCATGGTTCTGGAGCAATGGCGAAAGGGAGAGTAGGCACAATGACGTTGCCCACTGTTGGTGGGCAATGTCATTGTGAATCTTACGAAACGTTCCTCCATACTCAATGAAGGTGATGTAGGCGATGTTTCAGACCAAAGGAATTTGTTGTCAGTGAAGAAAGCTCTCATGAGCTGAATGAATTCCTTAGAGGAAGAGAAAAACATATTTCTGCTCTGATGCTGCTTGATTAGAATGCGTCATCGATAATGCTCGCGAGACATAGGAAACTTATGCTATCATTAAAATTCATGTATATGGGCTGAAAATGATGAAAAACGATTTGTTTCAAAAGGTATCGCATTAGTCTCACGCAAATATGTAATGCTACAACAGTATAAATACTATGTGACAGCCCCTACCCCATCAACCATGAAAGGTCTTCTTTTAGTTCTTGTTGTTATAACAGTTATCGAGGTGAGTTCTTTGGCGTATTTTTTTACTTAAACATTCAGATGAGCTGTCCCTTCAGCGGAGGTGGTGTACTGGCAAGTGGCGTACAATATCACGCACTTGATCACTGGTTCAAACCCCTGATCATTATACACCTAGGTTAAGCCGTTTAAGCCATCCATCACTCCGACGTCAGCTGTAAGGTGCCAGACTCGTTTTGGAGGATAAAAGCACTGACTTGTACATCGGCTGGCCACCGCAAGTCATTATATAGGCCAAGCATTCAATACGCCACTACGATTCTGAATGGAAATTGATGCGGGGGTGCATCCCTTAGACAGGCTCGATTAACGCCAAAAGGCTTTATACATATCCTTTCAAACTCGGCTATCGATCAGAGTTATACAAAGGATGAGTTTATCTATTTATTGAGTTGATTCTGTGGAGATAACAAGAAATTCTTTTGAGGCTCATCGGCGAATTGTTCCAATGCACCCGAACACCCCCGAAGGACCTGATGTCAAACCCACGAATCGGAAGCCATTTAAAGGAGATGATGTCCTGAAAGTTCATATGAATACCGATTTCAAATATAATGCTATTGAAGGAAAGGTTAGTAAGAAATTGCCTTACTAATTCATACAACTGTGTTCAATTCAGATTAGAGACCAAGGTTCACGGCTCGGAACCATAGACTATCTGGAAGTGGAACATCATTATGGAGATCATTACTATTACAAATTCCAAATTTCCGGCGTGTACTGCCCCGAGGTACAGCTCAAACTAGACTCAAGCTTAAGTATTCCCTTCAAAATGTTGAAGGGCAGGAAATATTAGTGACTGTACCTATTTAATAGGAGAAGACACTATTTCTTTAGTAGTATTTGTTTTTTTGAAGTTATTTTGCAGGCGTTACAATGGATTGAGGATATGGTGACTAACAACATAGAAATCACAGCGACGGCGCTGAGATGCGCCAAGTATTTGGCTGTCCCACGAAAGGGGGATGTGTTGATGTACCGACGATACAATGGTGTTCGTAACTGGTTAAGTTTCAATACTAATGTCGAATACGTATAAAGCAGTAACCTGGTCTTAATTATGTTACGTTATGTTTATGCAAATACTAGGAACACATGTTGATAAAACGTAATCGTCTAAAGAGAAGCACATAAAATAAGGCAAATGACTCCTAGGTTAGAAAAGGAAGATAAAACAAAGCTGTAGAAGAAGAAGTGGTCAACCGCAAGGAACTATGAAGGCTCATACTCAGGTAAAATTACTTCCACATAGCGTTTGAACTTAGTCAAGGAATCCGGAGTGATCGTGTTTTTTGTTACCTTCTTGTAGAGGTTAACCGCCCTGAATGTAAAACTTCTGGTTCTTATACTGTTCTGAGCCTAGGGAGATTTATTTTAGTCTGACCTGCTCTGGTTCGGGAGTGAGCCATATTATAAAAATTAAAAGAACCAAATCTATAACTTTGTCTATCTATAACTTTAATGTTATTAACCTTTTTTAATTTGGTACAATAGCTTGTAAACCATACATATCGAATACTTTGCGATGTGATTCCAAAATAGGGAGTTCAAAGTATTTTTTGCGAATAGATGCAATAGGAATTCTAGAATGGAAAAAAACTCCTACACCGGCAAGGGATTTTACGTGTAAAGTTGTTTTTCACCTTCTCAAATGCTTCAACATCCCTTCTCCTAGATGGTGAACACAGCAGCACCACTCTCAACCAAGCGCCGAACATATGTTTTATATTCTTTGAGAAGTATGGACTTATCGGTGGAAGACAAACCCTTGAAGATGTGCAGTGTACGCAATAAGGCCAGGGCACACCGGGTTCTGATGAGTCCAGGAAACTCAAGNAACTCCTACACCGGCAAGGGATTTTACGTGTAAAGTTGTTTTTCACCTTCTCAAATGCTTCAACATCCCTTCTCCTAGATGGTGAACACAGCAGCACCACTCTCAACCAAGCGCCGAACATATGTTTTATATTCTTTGTGGAGTATGGACTTATTGGTGGAAGACAACCTCTTGAAGATTTGCAGTGTACGCAATAAGGCCAGGGCACACCGGGTTCTGATGAGTCCAGGAAACTCAAGTGCATCCGATAATGAGAACCTAGGTCTCTTACAGAAGTGACAGGAGTGATTGTAAGTTCCTCAACTGTATAAAGATTAGAAGGAATCTCGGACTTCTTGCCAATCGTCATACACTTGGTCTTACGTGGGGCCAAGGGGAGCTGCCATCTCCTAGCCTAATCACTTAAGATGTTTATCGCCCTCTGTAGCCGCTCCTGATCCTTTGCTTCAGTTATGACCACGTAAATTTTTACATCGTCAGCATACATTTTTGTTGTAACATCTAACCCAACAAACAAACAGGGAATCTCAGCTGTATACATATAATAAACAATACCGGTGAGAGAACTCCCCCACCCGTGGTATTATTCTGTTAGCTGCAGCATATTCGAGAATGTGTTCCTTGATCGTTTCCTCGAAAAGTCTACAAAACGAAGATGTCGTGCTGACAGCAAGATAATTCGCAGGGTCACAGGAAGGTTCCTTCTTAAGAACCGTGGTGCCGAAAGAGTGTTTTCCAACCTGCAGGAACTTCCCTCTTCATGAGTGATTGGTTGAATATGTACGAAAGCGGCTCACATATAACATCGGCAACTTTCTGAATGAAAAACAGCGGAATGAAGTCTGGAGTGACTGAAGAAGATTTGGGCCAGCTCATAATCCGTCCGCAACTGATCTGCGTAAAACTATGGTAGCTGATTAATAGTCGAGGCGGAGGTCGTTGAAAAGTGAGGAACATTAACATCCTCACCCAAGAAGACTTTGAGAACTGATCAGCAAACATGTTAGCTTTGTCATTTGGACTACCTGCCATAAGGTCTCCACACTTCAGAGGCTCGATGCACCCTTTCTCATGCAATTTTCTATTCAAACACCTGTAAAAGTTCGAATTCCCAGACTCAACAATTTTCTTCTCGATGTTATTCAAGTACTTACTCAGGCGTGTGAGGGAAATTCCTGTAAATTCATTATACCTAGACCAGTTCTCATTCGCCTTGCTTCTTGGAAGAGTCAGTCCCTATGCTCACTTATGTTCCTCAAATAACGTGGTAAAGGAGCAGAGTTGAACGAAGTCACCTTTTCCCAAGGGACGTAGTAATCAATGGCAGTGTGCAGTACTGTTAATTTAGGACAGAAGGGTCCAGGTTTCTTTTACTGGTTTTTCTCGTGCAGAGAGGATTATCAATGGAGCTATTTCGATTCTGCCCGGAATGTGCACACCGGCTGCACAGGGCGCAACTACGAAACGATGGCTTTACTGGAATTTTAAGGAACTTACAAGAAGGAACTGTTGCTTGTGAACTTTTCCTTCTCGATCACCAACTTAGCCATATGCACTGATTCGAAGTGTGGCGTTGAGGAGACTGTAAATTTTCCTGGACCCTGGTATTTTCATTCTATTGGATATTGGTAGACAAACTCTATCACTCCGAATATCGTCCAACTCTGTTATCTTTTTACAATTTCCACTGGCAATTTCCCTTCCTCACAGGCAGTTTCCATTCCTTCGCTCTATACTTTCAATATCCTCAATCCTCAGTCCTTTCCGCATCAGTGTATAGTTTGGGAGGCAAGCTATTTCCTTGTGTCGGTTCGTAGCTGTAGAAACTGTAAAGCTCTACTGAGAGCCTACACTTTTTTCCCATTGAAAGCCCACCATATGCATCGTAAAATGGCAAAATACGGCCTGGAATACACGACTAGCAACCGACGAGCTTTCTAATATAGCAGACGAAGCATTCGACTTCTAGTTGTCTTATTGCCATTGGGAGATGTTGCCTACTCCGCTAGCCTAAGCTTCTTCCACTGCTTCGGCACCGTCCGTTCGTGCAGATGCAAAGGACCGAAAGGTTTTCTGTTCGCTGGTCCCGGAACGATAATGGTTTACGACATACCGTAGTCGCCGGCAGCAGCGCATTCGATTTTCTTTTTCATTATGTTTAAATTTGTTCTAAGTATTTCATTAGCACGGAATCGATGTTCCCCTCTAGTATAGATTACATTCGGATGTTCTTCGAATTTTGTAGCTGACCCTTCATGGAGCGCTTTAAATGTGAAGAACCGCAATTTAGGCTACCAACTTGAATTTCTTTCAACAGTAGCGGGTGCACTTTAATGGGTTTGAGGTTCTTCATTATTCAAATGGTTGAAAAGTTTGGATGAGCTATTCTTTTCCAAGACTAACCATTCTCTTTTGTCCCGTAGCCAACTATTGGTAGAAGGATTTATTTGAGGATAATGTTTAAAACAGCTTCTGCTTCATGTACGGGCATAAGAGCTGCTATAGTTCTATGTTTGTTATTAGGTCGTCTGTTGTTTTCAATTGTTCAACGTTGTTGTCCTTGTGTTTTATTTGCTGCGTCCAATTTCGTTTTACTTTGACTTTCTACATCGTTGTGTACAACCACCCAAATTCAACTGTTGACGTAAGCGATAAAGTTTGTTATTTTCAAGGTAATATGGTTAACGTACCGAAGGCCAGAAGGACGTTCTGCGACGGCAAGTGCCGTAAGCATACGAATCACAAAGTTACCCAGTACAAAAAAGGAAAGGAATCGAAATTCGCCCAAGGTAAATGTTTTAGCTGTTTTTCCTTCCAACTTAGAATTTTTTGTTTTAAAAGTTTTTCATTTTACTGCTTTGAGTATTCTGTCTGGAGCTCTCCAGTACTTTTTTTTATCCACTTTTATTTTTCCCCCAAAAATAGATAGCGCTGAAAGTTTTCTTGAATCTCGTGATCGCCGCAGTTTTCTTTAGTTTTGAGTTATGTTGTCAACTAACTGCAATTGTCGTTTGCTTTCCCAAACTTTGTGTCTTCCGATCGGCGAGATAAACATTACCTATCCTTTGAATTTGCCTAAATAAACTACCCCGCATGTCACTTTTGAGATTTCATTTTTGGTTGGATTGCTTTAACTACTCTCTTCTTTTACTCCTTTGATGCGAAATTTTGCGCAGCCAATGCTATTCTAAAGGTGTCTCGCGTCTTGCTCCTCAATAATCACTAGGAAGAAGCAATCATACATACTTTCGGTACCATGTTCTTTTCTCTCATAACTCTTTGTAAAATGTTTCATTCGTGATTGATTATACATCGGCAGAGGTTTCAGTCGAGATGTTAACTCTTAAGACGACTCACATCTCCCCAATCAAAATTTCCAGCAGGGAAAAGTCTAGGAAAACGGTTTCTAGAATGCAGAGTGCCCATAAGGGTCGAGGCTATATCCTATAGAGAACGCCTAGTTTTGAGCCGTTACGGCCCTAACTGCCCTTTCAGTCTCATGCATTTGTTCAGTGGTAAATTTTAATCAAGATTAATTTCAACGAGTTATTGATTGTGGGCTGGTTTATAACTAGTAGGTTCCTGGCCGTACCGCTTTAGTTTCATCAACTTTCGTGGGAGATGTTTCGAACATGTTCCGAAACACCCAGCAACTGTCGAGAGTTTTATGTTTGAAGCATACCTTCGCACATGTAATTTTTTCCATGCTAGTTAAATTGAAGGCTAAAAGTTGCGGTTGGGCGATGAAAATTCTGTGAACGAACGCAGTTGTTTGCCAGTCTTAGAATAGTAATGGGAGTCTTTTTATATACATTTCACCTGTTCCATGAGCCATTCTTAATGTACTGCCTAAGGTCGACGACGTTACGATCGCAAACAGGCTGGGTTCGGTGGGCAAACCAAGCCCATCTTCAGGAAGAAGGCCAAGACCACAAAGAAGATTGTGCTTCGTATGGAATGCACCGAGTGCAAGCATAAGAAGCAATTGCCCATCAAGCGGTATGTTGTGAATTATTACTGTAAAGGAGCAAGGCAGCTGAAATGTCTTTCTTATTTTCTCCGATTCCTTAGAAGCTAAGATGTCAATATTTATTTTTTTTGAGCAAGATTAGCACCCTTGTCCAAGTTCATTCAAGTGATTTCAGATGCAAACACTTTGAGTTGGGAGGACAAAAGAAGGCTCGTGGTCAAGTTATCCAATTCTAAGCAAGCGCCTTTGATTGTTGTTGTTAATGGTTTCTGCTGAAATGAATCATGTCTATTTTTTGGTGTTGTTCTCGGTCCAAACGCGGTACCAAGCCAGTACTGTGTAAAACATTGGGTTTTACAGGAAGGTGGAGAATAATAGTCGTTTTACTTTGGTCACAAAGGTTTTTTCTCACCTCACTGTGATGTAACATTACTGATGTAATGTTATTGTTTCTCAGTTATGAACCGGTAACTATAACTATGTGCTGCCATAAAATATGATGCAAGGTGTACGGGTACTGGATGTTTCTGGTAAAGGTTAGTATTGCCCACATCCTCTTCAATTCAGCTCTAACTTTTGATATTCCATCTAGTTTCATGTCTGAACCTATACCGAAGCTTCCTCAGTGAGCCGAGTGTATTGTTCTGAAAAGAGGAATGTTGAAGTCATTCATTTTAGTTAGGTCTAAAAACTCACATTATTTCGTGCAACTGACTATTAGGCCCGACAAAATGCTCTGTCCATTTTTATCCGTATGAGGTCACCAACGGGGGCAGAAATTTTTCTGTAAATCTTGATTGTGTTCTCCTTCAATGCGTAATCTGCCCTTTCCTTCAATCACAGTGAGCCGAAAACAGGCTCTTGAGAAGCTGGAGGTGAGGAACTCGGTCAGCTTCCAGTATTTCAGTGTTGTATACCTTCGGTGCTGTTGGTGAGAACGTATTTATTGGCCGAGACAAGAAGAAATGCGGTATTGTCCTTCCAATCAACGCAGAAGGTGTCTCTAGAGTGCATGGGTCATTCGAGTGGATCAATGAGGTATCAAATGCATGATGAATTAACTCTATGTCCTGAATAGTCCAATTAGTTTCATCTCCTCTTAAGACCAGTCTTTTACTATGGAAACTGGCTTGATGAGTTTATTTTCTTTAGAATGAGCTCAGCTTCTCTGATTCAAGCACCTATGGAACTATAGTGGATGGGAGCCTTCTGAAGAACAAAACCGGAAAAATTCATGACGGAGCTCATATGTTTGTGGGGGATGTTGAACTCATCATTTCATTTCCTCAGCAACAGTCAGGCTTCGAAACAAACATCGGTAATAAAGTGCAAACATCAAAACAGGTTTGGTTCATTTTTCAACCCGCTTCTTTTCTTTTTTTCAATGCACTTCTACTAGACAACTGCTGCGAAAAGGAAGAATGTACCATGTGATGGTTTGGAAAAAGAAAGTAAAAGATCAAAACTGAATCCGAACGTGAGCAGATCTACTCCTAGACAATCGCAAGTGAGTGATTTTCTGAAAATCTGAACGAGCTAAATGATAGCAGGTCGCTTCTGATTGCGCGTGCGGTTGTGTATGTCGAGCAGCAGAGGGACGCGTCTACATTACCACTCAAAAATAATACTTGCATAGGTCCCCAACTGACATTTCAAAAGGGTTTCATGTATTTTTTTCGATGGCGCTTGTAAAAGATCGTGATTTGAGCAGCATCGTTCGATGCTATCGGAGTGTTCCATTATTCGGTTTCTTGAATAATTAACTAATGAACAATTAGCGGCATACCTGCATTGACCCATTTCCTAGAACCTATCAAAGAATCTTTCTACTGAAAGCGTCATCCTTCAAGGAGAGATGCAGAAACGAGTCGGCGCAATGGTTTCCCAGTTTTCCCTTTACAAGATGGTTCTCTACTGATACACTATTAATTGAACCTCTTCTATAGTTTTTATGCATCTTTTGTGAGAGTCGTTTTACAGATATCCTCGTTTTTTGTCAAAAAACCCGTTGTGATTGACAGTGACGATGACTGTGCTATCATAGCCGAAGATACGGTACTCGGGTGAGTTTCTTCTCATTCGTTGCTTTTTTTATTTCGGATACTTCTGCTGGTTTAGTCGAGCTGCGGATTCTCTGGAAAAGATTAAAGGGAACATGATCTCGTTCGTTAGCGATTCGGCTGGGCCGCCTCCAGACTCGGCAGTAAGTCGACTCGGGCAGAATTCAGGTCAATCAGGTTTTTATTCAAAGAAGTAGCAGTTGAGTATTTTTGACTTCGTGTTTCTAGGTAGTATATCTTCGTCGAGCACTCAAATGCCGTCAAAGGGCATAGCACGTCGCAAAAAGGTAAAGAGCTTACAGTTAGTAACAGCTCTCGCTATAACTCATTTTTCACTGTTGGCGATTTCACCTAATTGACTTCAGCAATGTATTTTTGACGTCAACAAACGTCCGTCTACATCGAGAACATCGATAATATTGGCCGAGGATACGCAACCAGAAACTGTACCAACGGGATCAATAGAATTCCTACCGAAAGAAGAAACCAGAACGCTAAATAATATCACTACATGCATCCCGGACACTTGTGATGAAACGTAAGCATTTTTGAATTGTTTGTGAAACGCTTATCCTCTGCATGAAACATCTACGCAGTAACCATCAGAGCTTCCCTTGTGGGCCGTATTAAAACTTGTCTCTCTGTAAACATGTAACATGTAAGGGTGACTGAAGCAGACACGATTCGCTTTGCTGCGTAGCCTGGCCTCCTCTTTACTTATTGCCATTTCAAGAGGTTAATTACCCTTCTGTTTATAGTGAGTTTTCGGGCAACTTGCAGAAAGGCGGAGGCGCTGCTATTCTAGGTAATAAGGTAGGTTCACCAGTTTTTAGGGAATGTTCGGCAAGCCCTTTTTTCTATATTTAAGGATACTGCTGCAACTATAACTGCTAAATTGTCTGCGCCTAAAGGACTTAAGAATTCAAACGGATTGCCTGCAGATTCGGCCGGATGTCAACTTGGACAGAACCCAAGTAGGAATGGAACCCCATCAGTGGCGTATTTGACGAATTATTTGAGTTCGTTCCGTTTTAGATAATATGACTTCATCCGGCAATCGGTTGACGTCAAATGGCGCGGTGCGTCGCAAAAAGGTGAAGAGCTTTTTCTTACCAATGTTTGATGGTTATCTTCTTGTGACGAACCCTTTCATCTTATTGTCTTCAGCAGTGTATCTTTGGTATCAACGGACGCCTGACTGCACCACCAACATCTATAGTACTAGCAGAGGACACACAACCAAAAACTGTATCGCGGTCGAAAGAATTTCTTGCAAAAAACGCTAACAAGACGCTAAATAATGTCACCACTTGCATTCCGGACACATGCGATCAAAAGTGAGTATTTTGAAATGGCTCAGACGCTCAATGGGAAGTAGTTACAAAAATAAAACATATAGAACTTGGTGAGATCCCAGCTTCTAATTTTAGAGCTCGGGGTGCTTCGCAGATCTTGAAGACGGTGCCGAACTGGAATAGCCATGTAGGGTCTTCTCCTCTAGTTCCTTGGAGAATTTTGGTTAGCTTATTTTTCTTGTATTTGAGGATACTGTGGCAAAGGATGGTACTTCATTGTTTGCGCCAAAGGTCTCTGCATCGTCTATGCAAGCTGAACATCCACTTGCAGCTGCTGCGGAAGATTTCTCTGATGATGAAATAGTAGTCCCTCTTGAGGACCCTGATGTGGTAGGTTTCAGTGTTGAGTTATGTTCTCCAGCTTGCTTCTATGCTTTTATGATGGATAAGAATAGTGCTAAAAAGATGAGAGATTTGCCCTCAGTTAGATATGGGATATAGCTCATCTCGTACCGCCACTCAAGCGAGTTTTATTCGTAACCTTTCGAATTCGAGAAAGTCGAAGCATATTATAGGAAAGAATCACCTGTTTGATGCAGTTTACATTAGAAATTAGCCGCTTGTTCATTTACGCTTTTTATATCTCATTCTGATCTTTGCACCCTAACACTCTAATGAAGTCAGACGTTAAGTTGTGAGAATTACTTAGGCATTTTAGAATGCGAGAGCTTCTTGTTCTTCGCAGTATAATCGGAAAAATCAGTCATCGACAGTTGCAACCGCTAAGCCACCCAAGGTCAACCACTCAGTTGGTGAGCTCCATTAGTCGCATTTTTGAGTTTCCGTTAAAATGGTGAACTTTGTTTCCAGCCACATTGCAAAAGACTTCCAAACGTTCGTCTGGAAAGAAAACTAGCATTTTTGATACAATAGCATCTAAGAAGCAGCACCTCACGAAAATCGTGGACAATGTATCTGATGACGACGAGATCGCCGTTATAGAGGAGGTTGACAAGGTACTTCCTCTTCAGGTCCCCGAAAACTTGTTCCCAGAGAAGTTTATCAGTGCTGAATTATTAAGCTTCCTTGTCGACTGGTATATGATATGGTGACGATAATGAAAGTGCACATAGGCTGTACTGTAGTGATGTCTTAGTATATATCTCTAATTAATATCATTCAAGACTGCGACATTACGGTCTTCTTCATCGTTCATTCCAAAGATATCTGCTTCTCCCATCCACGCCAATCGGCCAACAGAGATAAATGCCACTTCCTGTAAGAGGGCTTTGTATTGAATGCTTGTTTCCTGGAATTCCCGCTTTTTTAGCTTTGTCCAACAAAACTGAAAGGCGTGCGCCCGGAAAGAAAGCCAGTATTTTTGACCAGCTACCTGATAGAAAACCTCAATCATCTGCTAAGGTCATGGAAAGTATTGGCAACGAGGAGATGGATGAATCATTTGAACAGCCTGACTTGGTAAGTCTAGCAGCGCAGGGTGCCTTGTTCAATAGTTTTTATTTCCTCATTGTTTGCACTTTATATTCATACGTGAAGAATTACAGATACATATTTGTTTTAGAATAACGTGAATTATTCTTCGTTCATTCACCCTCGTGAAAAAGTCTGGTCTTTCCAAAAGCCGCTCAACAGACTTCTGCCATCATACATTTTTCATGACCCCAGATATGTTCGTTGACAACAATGTTCTGGGAAATGGAGGGTTCTTATCCCCGGAAAGTTATGTGTATCGACTATGAAAGGTTTTGTAGTAGGATGATGTAGATGAAGACTGGATGAGATCCCGGCTCACTCGTTTTAGCAGCTCTTCTTGACAACATCTGCCCGAACAAGAATTGGCAACATTTGTACGACAACACCCCCATGTTTTCAGAGCGTCTAGCTGTAATTGAATCAGCTTGGGAACAGTCGATCGAACGTCGGCTGGTTCTTTTGTGGTCATAAACTTCTTCCTAACCTATCTTCTGCTTTAATTGAAGTTTGAGTACGTGGCTCACTCTGGATTAATCAGTAAACTCGANTTGACAACATCTGCCCGAACAAGAATTGGCAACATTTGTACGACAACACCCCCATGTTTTCAGAGCGTTTAGCTGTAATTGAATCAGCTTGGGAACAGTCGAACGAACGTCGGCTGGTTCTTTGTGGTCATAAACTTCTTCCTAACCTATCTTCTGCTTTAATTGAAGTTTGAGTACGTGGCTCACTCTGGATTAATCAGTAAACTCGACGATTTTTGTTCTTCCTCCCAAGGCTCAAAGATAAACTCGCTTCTCGGAATCATCGCATTTTATGCTCTGCAAAGTTCCTTGCCGTTACTCTTCAAACAATTCATCTCAATCTATATCTTGTACGTGTACTATCTGCGAACATGCAACCTTGAGCCCTTGCCAGGACAAATGTTCTCAATAGTTCCCATTTACGCTGGAATTTCGTCGAATTTTTCGAAGCATTCATTCAGATTCCACTCATTCGCATCTATTTTTCAATACTGAATTTTTTTTTGTACTTTGGTTATTCAACAAAGTGAGAGCACAGGGTGTTTCAGAAGAATATATTGAAACTGGTTTCAAGTGGCAAACGTTATGACAATGGAGACGATGATGCGGATACTGAAGATACGAAAGGACTCGAGATTGAACGCGTCGTTGCCAAACTGGTTCGTGATCAACACCTTTCTTGGCAAATGATTTGGACCGTTATTTATGAAAACCTGACTCTTTACAATTTAGTAGTTATAAGTGGTTTATGGAAGAAACCATTTCCCGGCTTCCTAGCTGTGCGATGGGTTAAATTGAGTTAGCCGCAACGAGTTCAAAACGCATTGTGACGATAGGGTTGTTTTCGTTTGACACTGCGCCTCATTAGCGCAGATTTGGGAGGCATAAGTGTTTTTGGTCTAATCGATAGCCTTTCTAGAACTTTAAGAAAAGCTCTCTTAGTAATGGTCTTACTAATTTCGAACCGTCACCGTCAGCCGCTTGCCCTGATATTCGTTGTAATTTTTGGGTGATCAATTTTGCTGAGCGCCGCTGAGTACCTCGATTTGGGCGAATTAGGGCAATAAGGCAGGATCGGAGAGTGTGTGGCACATAGAGGGATGGAATTAAGAGGACAAAGGGATGAAGGGTAAGTGGACGAGACAATAGGCAAAAACACCTCCCATATATTCTAGGGAGCCCTTAATGGGTAAGAAGCAAGGAAAATGAGGGAAATCTTCAAGGTATTCGCAAGGCTGTACAACTAGTCCTAGGGACGGATAAGTAAAAGTAATGAGCGTTTCTTTATCGTATTTGACTAACAAACGTTTTATCATTGATGCTTTCGACAGCATCAGGTGCAAGGTCGGAAGTGTTTCTATTGGTGAAAATAGTAGTCAGAAAAATGTGAGCCAACGTCCTTCCCCTTAATGCACGAATTTGACGTGTGCGAGTTGCTGATGGCCTGGCCGGCGACTCCCATGCTCCCGTGGGCATGAAAGTGCTAATTATAGTAATGGTGTTCGGATGCACATGCCAACTCTACGCTTGCTTCACGTCAACTAGACTGGCACGAGTTGGTGCTTTCTACCCGTATAAATCTGACTCGAATCATGCGGTCCGTGCTGTGAAGATTAATCAATTGGCATGGGCGCAGTTCGATTAGAGATTCCCATACAGTCTCACAGGATGCGTAACCCCGAGCTTTTGCCGCGATTGAATTTCAGCCCTTTGTATCGCATAAGAACTAATTCTAATTACCATGAGTAATCAAGTTAGAGAACGGAGGCGTTGGATCTGTTGCCGGATTGACGCTAGGGAGAGGAAAATGAAAAATGTCAAAAAACGGCAACGAAGCAACAGGGTGGAATTATAAGCGCTGATTCACAGTGATTCCTAATTTTAGAAAAATTTGGATGTAATATAGTGAAACGTCCGCTATGATATGAATACTTGCAGCCCTAGTTGGTTCGATCTACTCATTTTTCTTGATTCAGAGTGAATTGGTACACTATGCTGATATAGAACGCCCTCCAAAGCCAGCAGTTGTTAAGCCCTCGTTTCCAGAAGTGTCTTCCTCCAAATCCACAAATTTCAAACGATTCAAGAAGGTTGTTGTCGTTGTGTTTTCAGGTTTTCCTGGAGGTTTCACGTTTTCGTTCCAGGCTAGCCAGGGACGTTTCAACTCAACACTGTCATCGGCCAGTATTTCGTGTGTCATTGGTGGCAGTGAAGATCTCGTCGATTTCCGGCAACTCCCTCAAGTTGCGTAGGATTTTACCGTGCAGAAATAACCAGCTTGTCAAATATTTACTTGTGTGTATACAAACGTGTAAGATATAAACTGTGATAATCCTTTCAATAAACTAAACCGAACTGGCTGAAACATAAACAGAACGGTGCCAATGACCAATTTTATGGCTGGCGATTTCGATTTCGTAGATGTTTTCATTAGGTTTGACGAACGTGACGACTGTTTTCAAGCTGAAACTGCCCGATGTGTCGTGCTCGTCTTTCATTCGTTTAATGTGACGTCGTCGGTCTTCGTCGTTTCATCTCTCCAGCTAACAGCGGCAGTCTTCTTCCCATATGTCATCATGGTCGTTGTCATTTCTTGCCACAGAAAAGCTTGTTGCAGCCGACAATTCCTCTCTAGGGAATCTCCCATAACAGACATTCGCAGGCATTTGTCATATCTTTGCCGACAATGCAGTAATCGTTCAGCACCACAGCAGAGCTGGGCCTGCTACAGATTAGCTCAATTCAGGCGCGCAGTTCCCGTCCATCTCCGTAGTCGCACGGGTGCCTTTGTCCACGTCCACCCTCGATCAGTCCCGCAGAGGGCCAGCTTCCGTCGGCGGGAAGTTTTTCATGAGACGCGAGTGTTCGTCTCGTGAAGGCGGACGTTGTTCGGTTGGGCTCTGTGAGTAATAGATAGCCTCCTTCTCATGCCAATGTTTTCCATCTTGGCCATGTCGCTATTTCAATGACGGCCGTTCTGGCGCCTGCCAAGTCTCTCCCTCTCAAAGGTCCTCAGCTGCATCGTTGGTTTTGAAAAACCAGCCACAGCAATTTGCCTCCTCCTGTAAAATTGTGTAATTGAATTGCGGCGCTGCGCTAAAGGTTTTCAAAAGCTCCGACGATTTCCATTTTGGTCCTCTTTCCGCGTTAGTGGCACTCGCGTCTGCTCACTTATTACTACTACTGTTCAACCGACGAATTTCAGTGCATCATTTGATTGGTTCCCATTTTAATTAGGTTGCGCCCGCAGGCTCGTTTCCATCCTGGCTACCGAATCGAGGTCCACTTTCCATTTATTGGCCTTTAGTCTGGGCCAGATTTTCGCTTGAGATTCGTGCAGCTGAGCTTAAATGAACCAACGTTTTTGAGATGGTTTTCAATAACCCATGCTGAAGTCGTTGTATCGAAAATGTCTCCCTCCCAAGGACGAGATTCCTCACCTCTCGAATGGTCTCAATTTGAAAAATGGTGAAAAAAAAATTGCACTTCAAACTATTCTAGCCATCGAAAAGGGACGTCTTACGGTGCATACACCGTATAGAACCAATCGGTCTATAATTACTGATTTTATTCATGTTTCCCATATTTTAAATGACCTCACTTTCTCCTCCGCCCCGCCCTTTGAGAAACTCGTAGCTCATCCGAAACTCATGGGCCCTATTCACTGAATGGTTTGGTTACTGAAATGCTCATAACGAGGCGATTCACTACTTCCGTGGGAGCATTCTCAGCGGCTTGTTTGTTGCTGTACCCCCGATTTCAATTTCACTGCAGTGTGCACTTTTCTGAGGCCCCAAAGACCCCTTTTAATTAAAGAATTGTTACTGGCAAAATGGACCATTACCTCTTTCTAGATCTGCTATCTGGGATGATAATCTCGCATCGGTCTTCAAGCTCAACCCAGCCTTTCGATTTTGTAGCTATTTCTTTAGAATTTGTTTAAGACGATTTTTTCCTTATTCGCATTTTTTTCTATTTTCCCTCGAGACAGCTTGACTGCAAATAGCTTCGTTAGACCTTTTTTCCGTTGTTTTTCGCTGTCCCAGCGGAAGAGGAATGTGAAGTGCAACGGCGGCCAGCATGTCTCTCCTTCTCAGAAGCGCAGCGCGAGAAATTGAGCCACTCTTTTATAATGAGAAACAGACGATTAGCTTGGCTGATCGGATTTCCATCGGATTTCTTTTCTATGCTAAGCGAATCGCATCACTTCTCTCAGCCCTTATTCATCTAGGGATTATTTGAGTTTCCTGCCCCTTCTTCCTTTTCTTTCTCCTCCTTGTAATTTGCTTTTTATCTCAATTTTCTGCTCAAATTTCAGGTCAGAGTTAGTCGGGTAGGGTTGATATGGGAGGATATTAATCCCGTGAACCATGGATTCCTGTAGAGCCAAGTATTTAAGGTTCACAGTTATATCCTGCCTTTTAGTCTATAATAGGCTTTTCTTTCTTCAATAGGTTTTCGCTTGCATACCCGAGACAGTAGATCGCTCCTTCATCGCCACGATTAAACGTTTCCCAACGATATAATTCGAGAATGCGCCATGCGCTCTCCACCTTCTCATGATCGTGATGGCATCAGAATGCGTAATACTCTCGTTATACTGGGACCTGCATGAGTTGATCAGTAGGTAGAGCTTATCCAACCAGGTTGATTGGATGCTGATAAACTGGCTCTGGCTTTTGGGATCCTCTGTACCACTCAGGGTTCTATGCTCTATTCGTTCTGTCAGCGGTGTATGGTAACAGCGGTGCTTACCACTGGACTGTACTTCTACTCAAGCAATTTCCATGACGAAACGGACAGAGTGATGCAACCGCCTTGAATGTGCTAGAAATAGGTAACAATCATGGCTACGTGTCCACCGTCCTTGCAGCTGACCACTTGATCTTACAATAAACCTCAGAGGCTATCTGAAGACTCCTGAAACATGAAGGGCATTTGAAAAGTCATCAAGAAACTCTGGTTACCTCTACGATGTTTGAGTAACCTAACTCTGAATTCTCACGATTATGCCTGTAATTAATTGAATGTGTGCTAAAGCGTAAGAAGTAGTTCTTCAAGTGCTTCCTAGAAAATTTATGATCATGCCCATTTTACTTGACGCTCACCTGAAAAATGGCCTAGAGTTGTGTCAATACTTTTGTATTTTTCGTCAAATATAGTATTCTCTTCCTGGTTCACTCTTTAGCTCCTGTGCTCATGAAACAGCGACGGGAACGATTGTTCGTTGAAGTTTTTTCCATCAAGCTAATTAGAAAGCTGCAACTTAATCGTATAAATGCGCTCTGTGGAAAGGTTTTTGAAATCCTGATAATCATATTAGTAAAGGATACTGTCCTGGTTCATTTGGCATAGTGCTCTGTGGCTTTTGATTCTTTTTCTGAGAAAGAATGACTGAAAGGGAGGAGGTGAGATATGGGAAAGTGGCGAGGGGCGCCTTACAAGTCACACCCTATCCGTAGATCCTATGGGGAACAGAAAGCTCCCTGTCGTACTGGAGTCACTTCATTCTGCAGAAGTCGTCATGGTTGTTAGAACCACTGAATTCTCCGGGTACGATGGGTCAGGTTAAATATAGGTCAGGTAGGATAAGTCGAATACGCATTCAAACGTTACCACGACTGTGAATGAAAGTTGGGTCAGCGGCGCATCCTGTATATTAAGAAGTCCAACCACAAGCGTTCAGAGGGCTGGAAACAGGTATGTGCGGCCTAAGGACTGATTTCCCACATTCATATTGGATTTCCTCTGCCTATACATCACGATCCCACGCCAATTCATAGTACGTGTTTTTGTCTGAAACTCGAGTAGGAGTAGCTAACCTGGAAATGTCACCTAATGTGTCTAAGACAGAGTTGAGCTGGTACTCAATCATTTGGGAGGCAGAGAGCCCAGTTGTCTGCATAAATTTCCATAAGCAATGAAGGAGTTTGTTTTTATGGCCGTTTCGATTGCTTCATTTCTCCTACACATTTCCTTTTCTTTCCTTTCCTTTTTCCTATATCTCTGGGAAAAAAAACTTACTTTGTTATTCATGTACGTTGAGTCCGTCTCGAGCAAACCAATTGCTCCGTGTAATGTCATAAATTATTCCTACCCCAATAATTTCACACATCTAAGCGCTCGTACATAGCCCTGTTCGTTGCGGTTCTTTGATGAATCGTGGGATGTACTCCCACCTAATCTTACCCTAATCTCCCCTATTCATTTTATCTCAGAACACATCTATCCCATCTAATGGTTATTGTTGCTCCGTAAAGCCCTAATTCCCTCAAAAACTTCTACGATTTCCATCAGACGACACTCTTCCAATGGTTTTGCCACCTTCGCCATGAATATTTTGTTAGGATGAAACTTTTAGATATTTGTATAAGGTTTTGAATACTACTTTTAGCAGCTATTTTAATTTTTTTGGTAAACATTCTCAATTATGCGATAACAGTTGGTTTTTCCGCTGGAAAACCCATTTTCACAGTTACTCGATAGCAGTTCAAGGCTCTGAGGAACGTCTCGTTTAGCTCTCGAAATTACCTGCTTAATCTGATAATTTTTTTTCACCACTCAGGGTTTTTAGTCCCCTCTTCCAGCTAGTCCTCAAGTGGCATAGGGATGCCAACCACTCTTCTGACAGCATCCGACGATTCGGACGATGGCGGGCTGGAGCGAAGGCCACCGAGGAGACGATTTTTTCAGAAGTAGGTCTGCACATCGGCTATTTTGATAAATGAGACTTCCCATCCATTGGTATGCTCTAAGTGGCCTCTTCTACTGAGCGTACTGGTCTTTGTTCTTTTTGATGTGCTCATCGAAGAGTGACGCTTTTGGGTTGTGCTTAATTTCATTCTGAAGGATGCGACAAAGCGGAAGAAGTCCTATTAACACATGTGGGTTTTTGTCAGTGAGGGCCTAACGGGGATTAGTTTTCAGGTCTGAGAGGGGTTCCAAACGATTCGTGCTCGATATCAGCTTCTGCCATTGCCTTTTGCTCAGTATTCTGTCATTGTCACTGATATATGTGGCTTTGAATACGTATTCCCTCACGAAACACTACGCAGAACTACGGGAAAGCGTATCCGGTGAGTTCTCCTTTGCATTTGCAACTTTACCCGCTTCCGGAGGAATCGATGGCGAACACTTCTAACCGCATAATTAAGCGCTTCATCGACTAGGGGCTTGAGAAATTTGGGAGATTCTTCAATAAGTGGTCCTCCATGCTTGAAGAGTCTCTCGAACAGCAGTGAACACTTCACTTTCAGCAGTTGCACAGCTGACGAACCGATTGGAAACCCTTGAATTTGGTATGAACAGACTTCGTCTTGAATTTGATTTTTGGAAGGAAAATTTCTCGAACGATTCGACCCACGAAGCTACCGATTATATCTTTGATGTGATGAAAAAGTTAACATTAGATGTGCGAGAAATGAAGAAACGGGTCGAAATGGTAGGTTGCCAACTCTTAAACTTTTAGGTATTAAAAAATTGGCAGTAATGGTAGAATTGAAGAGAAATTGAAAAGCGCTTAAAGGCACAGCTCACGATAAAAATGGTTCCTGAGATTCCCCTACAGGATGAATTTTAGGTCCCTGCGTATACGATATCTGGCACTATCAGGTGGGAAAACGGCTTAGTTAGTGAGCTATAAAGGCTCAAAGATTGGCTCGTGTGTTCCCTCGGACGAGTTTCAGCGGCATTCTAGAGGCTGCATCGATCACAAGGGAACCCATGTAGGAAGTTCAAACAACTTTTCATGACCCATAGTGACAGTGAAAGACATTTCTGTACAGTTCTGGCCTAATGTAATCAGCTCTCTGTGCAATTGCAATAACTGAAATCTCGTTCGAATTCCCCTTCCATGTTATTTCCGTCATGGCAATCTCGTCCAACCTTTATTTTCCCTACTTTTGTGGAGCCATATTTTTCTCGGAATCGGCAAATTCCCTCGCTTTCTTCACTACAGTTTAACTATTCCCAATCTGTAGTTACGCTTTTCGAATAAAAAAAGTTACCTCAAGATAATCGTGAACTGTACCTTAAAGGAGATTCGAAGCAGTAGTCTTGAAACTCTGTGGTGAAGAGTTGAGCGGCCCAGTTTTCAGTGGTTGCGGAAATCTAATTATTGAAATTCGAACGACGGAATGTTTTTAATTTTGTACCTGATGTTTTTTTTCAGGCCACCCGTGTGACAGATGATGTGACACGGCGGATGACAACGGTTGAAACCCGTTGTCTGAATGTCTGCCGGCAATCATCACGTCGTGAAGGAGACAAGCAACGACGACGACAGGCTGCTAAGGTCCTTTCGGATGATGATGAGATTATTTTCAGAAGAAATTGACATCTTCCATCGTTAGAAGAATATTTATGAACGATGTTCGCAGATAGCCTATTATTCCTTGACCAATTCCTTCTTTCCACACAACTACTAGCTCTTAAAGCAATAATAGCGTGTGAGGATTAATTAATAACTAGGGTAATGTACGGTGCTCAACTATGTGATGGTCTTTTCGATCTCAATTTTATTATCGCTGAAGTATCGCCATTCCGTGCCGCGTGCGGTTGCGTCGCGGCTGTATTGTTCGTGTTTGTTGCATGAAGTGTGGAACCTACGGAAAATGGAATCATCAATTGATACGGAGCGTGTGTTGTTGAGGTACTGTGAGCGAGTTTTAAGGCATTCAGCCTTCTGCCAACAAGGTTCCTTGCCGCGGCGCAACCGCACGCGTTTAGTATGACCAAGCCAGTGTCGATTACGAAATGTACACCTCTCATCCCCTTCAAATTAAGTTCTATTTGATTTGGACTTCAACCATAACTCTTGTTTTTTTCTTATTCAACTAAAAAAGGAACGAGCTGATTTTTTGTGTTTGTTTCTGAGATTTGAGAAAATTTTTGTTGTAATTATTTTCAGAATAAACTGAAAATTTTAGCATGGTTGCAAGTAAGTCAAATGCTGCTGCAAGTGTTTATTCACGGATAACCCTTTTAGCTAATGATGAGATCCTTTATTATAGTGCTAAGTCATCGACAAGACGCATTGCCTCATTCAGGATCGAACCCGGGCCCATATTTCCTGCTGTACAGCGATCACACTACCAGTAAAAGGGTTGATTGTAGTCAAAAGAAGCCGTCAAAGGAAGGGGATCCCTAAGGAGAATCAAGTTCACTTGCATATTACTGGGAGCCATTTTCATCACTCGGGTAATGTGGGCAAGTTTTTTGGATATCAGCTCGAGGGAGATGCTGTTATAAACGCCTCTACTACTATTAATAGAATCTACTTACCAGTAAAAGTCGTATTTACTAGTAGTCGAGATAAATACCGACTCGAGAAGGCCACTATGAATAATAGTGTTTTTACATTACTCTCCCGAGTCAAGCCCGACACTAATCAAACACCCCGAAGAGATGGATGTGCACGGAGGACGAGACGAGACTGATCCCAAGCGCCGAGTCGGGACACGCTCAACTGCTAATTCAATCCAGATACAGCAAAAAAAAAAATGAATGATTCATCTATTGAAATACAGGAAAAGGCAAAGGAAATTGATTTGAAGTCATCAATTGGATTGAACAATACCCATTAGACAATTTGGTATACAACTCGACGAACTACAATTACATTATTATCTACAAAAAAAANAAAAAAAACTTTCTTTCATCAATTTCTTGACTAATTTGGCATAAAAAGTTCATATATATAGGTAAAACGAGAAAAGAAAAGGCTACAAGTAGCTTCATCCATAGTACTTGGTCGTAGAGCGCTTCCAATACACCCGAGAATCGTATGGAAGTACCTATACAGCAGATCTGCCTACACTGATGAACGGCTGATTTTATCGTTGATCTGAGGGGAGTCTTATGCGTAGAAAGGTTACTCTGAGAAATTTCTCCAAACTCAGGTTGTTCACACACACACACGCATATATGGCAGAGTTGCTCTTGACTGGAACGACCATTGACCGATCACTCAAGTTCTTTGAAATCGGCCAATTCGCCGTTTTCCTTTTCGAATTGGATTCTGTAGTAGACGGTCAACGACCGTACCCAAGCCTGAAAGTGCTTACAAGTATAAGTACTCTGAAATCATGAAAATGTGCCATTAGGTCAAGATTTCCCGATCACGATCAGCTTTAAATCGCGTATCCTGAAGCTTTGACCCAACTGAGTGACTAGTTTACCTTACCTGTTCATTACCGTACTTCACTTTATACACACCGGCACCGAGGGTTTTAATTCGCAGATAGTCGACAGTGGGCATTCCAGGATAATCGAAGTCTGGGAACCAGTCTAAACAGGCCTCATGACAAAGAGGGACCTCTGGAAAGTAGTACTTATCTTAACCAACCGATCATATTGTCCAAAGCGGAATCGACAGCAGCGGGATCTTCACTGAACCAGATGCCCATGCCAAAAGTCCGGTCACAGAATCTGAAGTAGTTCATGGGTTGCCTCTATCCCCATGACAATAAGACGAGGAACTTACCTGTTGACGACGATGTAGGTGGGCTCATGAGAAGAGACGACGTATGTGACGATTTTTGCTTTACCGGCCGGTATCACCGCACAGGTGAGGTCTTTGAGACCAGGAGCTCGCTCATCAGGTTCCCAGTACAATTCGTGAGGAATTGGGTCGAATGGGATATTCAAGCGATCGCTGAAGGTAGTACAATAATAACTAACAGATTACCTACCGGAAGGAATCTCTAAGACCATGGTGAACTCCCCTTGAAGGGGTTTACTCTTGAGAAGTATCACGAATCCAAGAGTATGAGACTCACCGGCACATACCATCGCCATTCGAATCATACAGCTTCCCACCCCAGTGAGCCGGAATGTTCTCTGGCTTGGCGACCTATAAGTAGAGAACACAGATTTGGGCCATCCGACTACTTTGAGGGATAGCTATTGTTACCTTTTGAATTTGACTCTTCCAGTCGCTGTTGGTCGTGCAAAGCTGAACCTTATTCCGAGTTCTTTCCGGCAGTAAAGGGCCGATTGCCTAGAATGCAGCCGTTTTCTCTTGGAACTTCACCTTTGGGAAAACATTTCCAAACCGAATGGGGTCATTATTCTGAAGAAAAAACCACTTCTGCTTGGAAAACGAGCGCATTTCGGGAAGTTACAGCGAGCAGCAGGGCATGTTATTTTTCTTTTCAGTTTTCAACTCAGGCAACCCTTTTTCTGTGGAATCAATCTTGGGATATCAAAGGGTTTTCGAGTGTTTTCACATCATCGCTTTTCGCTCTTATAAACTTTCTGTGAGCTGCAGCCATAGCCTAGAGCAAGATACGGAGCACGAGCCCTTTTTGAAATGAAAGAAAGCAA